AAGTCCTTAATTCAGTCTGCTCCTCTCGACACTCGTAATATGTATATGTAGATTTATCTGCATTAATAAAAAAAAAATTTGCATTCCTTATGTCTCTTGTTTCCCTCCCTTTGAGCTTGGGTAATCCCATATGTATATGCTGCCATGATTAGCCAGGAAAGTGGAAAATGTATTCATACTTACCGTCATTTTCTTTTCCTGGCTATTGTTCATTTATGGGTCTAATTCTTCTGTAAGTGCTTGTTACTGACTGACGGTCTCTTCTCTGGATCCTCCTTTTATAAGAATTTGTTTAAACCTGTCCTATTGACTGTAAGGGGAGGAGCTAACCCATGTGTATATGCTGCCATGAATAATAGCCAGGAAAAGAAAATTACGGTAAGTATGAATACATTTTCCACTATTATATATATGTAACGTCATTCTAAGTGTATTTTAATACTAATATATGTACTTATATTAATATTAAAATAAACTTTGTATGACATAACACATATATAATATGTATATATATTATATATATAATAGATATACATATATTATATATTTTTATATATATATATATATATATATATATATATATATATATATATAAATACATTTCTAGTTTAATTTTACACATGTTTAATATTTTTTTTTTTATTCTTCCCATCAGCAGGGGGATTGTCTGAGAGCTCAAACAGTCCCCCTGCTGACAGATCCACAGCCAGCTATAGGGGAGCAATCTTTGAGAGCGATCACATGGCCCCCGGGGGCCTCATTTGCCGGGGGAGGGCTGCCTGGGCTGTCAGACAGCCCTCAAGAAGAGGATCGTGGCGGAGGTAAGTCCACCGGACCTCCAGGGATAGAAAGCCGTTACGGCGTTCTGTGCCGCCACAACAGCTTTAAAGCCCTTTTAATGCGGGATGGAATAGAACGCCGTACCGGTGTTGAGGGGTTAAATGAAAGCCCTGTTTGAAATGAATGATATATAATAAGGGTGGGTGCATTTAAAATGAAAGAGGTGAATTACGGTTGGACAAACATGCCAGGTTTTGTTTACGTTTTGTTTTGTTCACAACGTGTACATTTGGCTCAGTCCTTAACCCCTTAAGAACCGGACTGTTTTTACGATGTTGTACATTTGCAACCAGGCATCTTTTTACACTTTTGTGGTGTTTGTGTTTAGCTGTAATTTTCCGCTCTCTCATTTACTGTTCCCATACAAATTATACATTGTTTTTTTCAGGACAAAAAGGGCTTTCTTCACATACCATTATTTATATAATCTCATGTAATTTAATTTTAAAAAAATGAAAAAATATGATGAAAAATTGAAAAAAATACATGTTTTTTTTTACTTTTACTTGAAAAATCTTTTACTCATCTACAAAAGCGAATGGAAAAAAAACTGCTAAATAGATTAAAAATTTTGTCCTGAGTTTAAAAATACCCAGTGTTTACATGCTTTTTTGCAATTTTTTTTGTATGTTATAGGGTTATAAGTACAAGCAGGATATTGCGGTTTCAAAACATACATTTTTAAAATGTATCAATAGTGACATTGTAACACTATTATCTGTCATAAATTTCTGAATAACACCCCACATGTACATTTTTTTTTTAAAAGTAGACAACCCAGGGTATTCAATATGGGGTATGTCCAGACTTTTTTAGTAGCCACTTAGTCGCAAACACTGGCCAAAGTTAGCGTTCATATTTATTTGTGTGTGAAAAAAGTAAAAAACTAAATTGAACACTAATTTTGGCCAGTGTTTGTGACTAAGTGGTTACTAAAAAAAGACTGGACATACCCCCTTTGCAATACCTTCGGTTGTCTTCTTTTGCAAATGGTATGTCATCATGGGGGTAATTCTCATTCCTGGTGTTGTAGAATTATAGAATTCTTGAAATTATCTAAGCTAATGCTTTGTCAGGAAGAAATGTGCATCAGCGGGACAATGTGTTCATCAAGAATGAAACATTGTGACCGCTGAGCGACATGTTGATCTCAATAAAGTATGTGTCAGCTGAATAATAAAATGTGTATCTACTAAAAAACCTTGAAAACTAAGCTTGAAACTAATAATGCCAACTACTCAAAATTGCTGCCAAAGCATCCCTCCCATCGAGTGGACACCTCGTGCTTGTGTCCACTCCCGTGTCAAGGATGACATCACCTTTTGATGGGAGGGCATCTAACTAACCACTTAACACCTGAACCAATTAATAATGTTTATTTGCTGTTATCTTGAATTCTTCAGTGATGTAAAAATGCATTTATAAGGGTCTGCGCACCCATTTTCTGTTAGAAGCCATTAAACTTCTCTGAAGTTCTTTCATTAACCTGAACTCTGTGTCTCAGTGTGAATTTACTTCTGCGTGCACGCAACTTTATTATCTTTAATTTGGGCAGGAACAGATAGTCATTCAAACTAATTGGTTTGCATAAAATAATCTACTACACTGGGCTACCATACGCTCTCAAAGGCAACGTAACCAGCCTGACCATTTTCAATGTAAAAATATTTGACCAATATATTTGACCCTGTAACTTTCAAAAACACTATATAACCTGTACATGGGGGGGTACTGTTATACTCAGGAGACTTTGCTGAACACAAGTATTAGTGTTTCAAAACAGGAAAACATATTACAACAATTCAGATCGCTCAAGTGGACATGTATTTGAGGAAACACGGATCCTTTAGATGGTGTTGCTTATATTCTCACTCTGGAAAGGTGACAAATGCCAATATCTAGTGTAGTAAGTCTAAGGTACCAATATATGTGGATAAATAGATGAAACTGCTCACCTTATATAGAGCCTTGGGTCTATATACAGCACTTGTGTCTTTAAGAGGACACAGATCCTTCTTTAGATGAAGCAGGAACTATGGATGTAGAATGATGGATGTCACAGGAAAAGTTATGGATAAAAAAAAAATTAAATTTATTGAATACAAATATATATTATTTATTATTTTTTATTCACTAATTTATTTATTTTTCATATTGGCATTTGTCACCTTTCCAGAGTGAGAATATGAGCAACACCATCTAAAGGATCCGTGTTTCCTCAAATACATGTCCACTTGAGCGATCTGAGCCGGTCCTGTCTAGGCTCAGAACCACGTGAGTGAATCCCTATTGAGTTACTTCACTCACATTTTTTTAAAACATTCTACACTATTACTCTTTATCCCCCCTTAGGTTACCAAGAGTTCCAAGGGGGGTAAGTTATTTTCTAAAATCCTTTGAGCGCTCCACCTCACACTGGGATTGGCTTTGCACACCACTCAGTACATCTATCCAATTGATTCTGCATGTGCTAGGTTGTGAGAGGACGGCACATTGGCAGTAGCAGCTCTACAAATTTTATGTTTTAAACTATTTCTGTAAGCGCCACTGTACACAAATTCCAAATTTTTAATGTCACAACTATTATATCATCAGTAAAAGTGCTGTTTGCAGGGCCGGACTGGGGATTCCAAAGCAGCCCTGGAAAAAAATCTATCCCAGCTCCATAAGTCATTGCGCCATATATTGTCGTATGTAATCTATAAGGCTATATCTTGCCACC